CGCGTGGCTTGCCGCATTAGCGGGAGCGTTTGGTGCCCGTTGTGTGACGAACAAACGAGAGGGAAAGTTTGATCCGGCCTAGTCCGAGGCGATGGCAGGATTTTATATCCGGAGTATCGCTCACCGGCCAGGCTCTGTGGGGTGAATGATGTGATTAATGTTTTGTATAAATTAGATGCGCGTTGGTCGCTGCAGCTTAACGGCTTTCATTTCTGAGATTTATATTTTACGAGGAAATACGTCTCAATAAAGCAAGGGAGGCCTGGAGTAAATACGCGTTTAAAATAACCATTTAGAATATTGTTCTTTATGCACATTTGCGGCTATCTCGAATACAAGAAAATTATAAATAAATAAAAACCCAGCATGACTCCGACTTGGGAGACTGTTCCACGCATTGCTTGTCAACAAATTAAAAAAACAATCGAAGGTTCGTTTAATACGTTGGCTTTCGCGACCAATATCATCTATAATACAGGGTTTTTTGGGTTAGATCGCAATTTCTAATTGGCTGTGTTGGGTGGTGGCGGGTTTAACGAGACATTTATATTTACGCGATCTAACCCAAAAAGTACCTGTGTTATGGACAATCGGAGGTTACCAGGTCAGAGGTCAGAGCATTGTGCTGCCAACCGCTGAGATGCTCGGTTTGATTAGACCGTGTACCCAAGTGTAGCAAGTTAATGGTCTCAGCCCGGTCAGTAATGCCCACAGAAAGAAAAAAAGCACGAACAAATCATTTTGTCTCGGTTTGGTTTTTATTTAGCTGAATTACACCTCTGGAGAATTACAAATTGGAGGCTCTCTCCAAATCAGGAGCACACGGGAAATCGCAGCGCCCCTCAGAGATCGCTCGTAGAGGTCTCGGGAGTAGTTCCGCGATGACGCCTTCCGCGGACCGTCGCTCTATAACACGAAGGCCGAACAATGCGGCCGTCACCACCGCCGTCACCGCCATCACCACAACAACAACCACTACCACCGCCGTCACCGCCATCACAACAACAACAACAACAACCACCACCGCGCGAGAGTTCCCAACAGACGCTTATCTCGGCGCGCGACGCTGATCGCGCAATTGGAATAAAATTGAGCAAGAGATGCAATTTTTTCTCTCTGGAAAAACGAGCCCTATTTTATCTCCTTTAAAAGTTTACATTCTCCCCCCCCGTCTCTGTGTCCGTCTCTCTTACACCCGTCGCCAAGCGCAGAGATGCCCCCCCCCCATTTCTCATGCCGAGAGGACGACCATTATCCCCCAATTCCCCCCCCCCCCCGTTTTTGTTCTTCTCACAGCGTGATTGAATGCAGAATGCGGAGGAAATTGGGAAGCAAATTGCGACAGATTGTGCTTTGTGGGGCCCGCGAGGCAAATTGTGGGTTTGTGGCGGTTGCCGGGTGAAGGGCGTTCACGCGTCCCCGGGGCTCACACGCCGCGTTGGCCCTTAATAGGCGCTCGCTAACAGCGCTTGCCGTGATAGTCTGTGTGGACTAAGCTCGGAGGGGGGAGGGGTGGGCTATGGGTGTGTGTGTGTAGCGGTTAGCGCACTGCGGACCCACTGACCCGAGTTCAATTCCCGCACGTGGCCATCACCAGTGTCGATTATCTGAACCGGTCCTGGGCCTCCCCTAAGTCGACTCGGCCTCAAATGAGTACTTAGTACGGTGTGTAAACATCAACACGAGAGAGACTAAGGCAGCCGGGAGTGGTGTGCCGTGCTGGCCTTCATAGGTGCTCGCTAGCAGCACTTGCCCCAACAATATGTTAAGGCTATACGGTGGATCTTTGTCTTTGTGTGTAATAGGGGAGCGGTAGTGTAGTGGTTAACGTGCTGCGCTACGAACCTGGCGACCCGAGTTCGATTTCCGCTCACGACCAATAACCGTGGGGAAAATCTAAACTGGTCATGGGCCTCCCCTAGGTCGACTCAGCCTTAAATTACCAACTGGTGTGGTGTTTAATATCAGCACCAGGGGGACAAATGCAGCTAAGCGTGGTGTTGGCCCCCCTGCCCCCCTCCTTGTGTGCTGTCCCGGTGCTCGCTAATGCCAGACACATTTTACTTGGGCATGTTGCGGGATTCCCTTGTTATTCACTGCATGCTTTGTTGAATTGTCATAGGCAGGACTCCTAATCCCAGCGGGGTTTCTGTCGAGGGGGTAACAATTTGCCTTCCTGTGTGTGATCTGTCCCGTTTGTACCGTCTCGTTTGTGTTGCGTCGCGTATGTTCAGTTTGTCTATTGTAACGCAAGCATGAATATGGAAGAGGCTTGTGGCGATTAACGATTCACCCCCTCGTTTAGTTTTTCCCGTCTCCCTCGTATTGTTCCTCTTTTGCTTTGTGCCATCCGAACGCTTTCACTTTTATCCAATGTGTGACGTGAGCATGTCATCATGATTATTACCGTATAAATAAGTCGCACGAGTTTTTCTAGGAATCAGTCTTTGCGCGCACATTTCGCGGGAGCGTATCGTCACGAGCGTCGGCACCCGACGCACCTCACGCAGCCCAACCGGCCCGGCAGTCGGAAAGGTTGCGAGTTCAAATCCTGGTTCGGAGGTTCGATTCGGCTCCTCATCCCTCGCATCGATCCACGCTGGGCCAGCGTGGTAACGTATGCTCAAACAACTCCCCGCCCCCACTCCAACGACCTGCACTGCGTTTGGGGGCCTTCGTCTGTACCGTGGCTGTGGTGTGGCCGTTGTGCCGAACAGGACCCGCCGTGTCAGCCCTTTACCGTGACCTTGTATAAAGTGGGAGGTCATACACCGTACAAAACCCTCGGGATGGGGCGAGGGGTACGACACGATGTGAAATAAAGTGTAAACAAAAGTGAAACTCTCGTTTGGGAATGCTACCGCATGGCGCTCTAACCCTGGTGTGTTAAACATCGCATCAATGTTGTTGCCTCGATGATAAGAAATCATAAGCGGGGGTGGGGGGGAGAGGGGGGCGGGTGCTCAGCATTCAGCCCAGGAGTGAGGTTGCGGGAGGTGCGAGTTCAGGTCGCCCGACGCTTCGGTCCTGAGCAGTGCGTGTGTGCGTGTAGCCTGCGGTACCATCGCCACCGTCGCTACCCCACGACCGTCGTCGCCGCTGCTTGCCTCGAGCGCGGGCGCGCATGCGCAGGCGGTTCACTCGATTGGAGACGGCGCCTGCGCCTCCACCTCCCGCATAAGCTCGCCGAAGATGAGGTGTCATTGCGGCGGCCAGGTTTAAATTTACGGCTGAGATCGATATCGCGGCGGCGATCGGATCTACATTTGTAAGTACTTTACACGGCGCGCGCTGACACGGGGCGGGTGCCGCGCTTCGCCGGGACCCCTGCGCCCGTGCCGCTAAACGGCCGAGATTCATGGCCGAAGCCAAAGGTTACGCCGCTTTGAGAAATTACTTGGCCCCCCGTGTCTGTTCCGCTGTCGCCGCCGCCGCCGTGCGCACGTGGAATTACGTCCGCACGGCAGCCCCCGCCGCACCTGCGGCAGCCGCGAGCTTCGCCCGTTTAAGGTTAAGCCCCAATGGCCATTTGAATCGCGTCGCTCTCGCTGATGGCCGCCCACGGAATTTATTCGTGTTTCGTTTGCCCGTCGGCTTGGCGACGGAGCGGACAACTTTGCGGCGCTTCTCCGCCAGCACGCACGCGCTGGCTGCTGCAGGGTGACTCGGCGTCGTTGGGTTACTAAGTTTGAGTTTGAATACCGCCCGGAGAGAGGTTATGTGTTGAGTTGTGGATCCCTCCTGCGTAGATGCGGTTCTTTTGGGAAGCCTGCATATTGAAAAATGGTTTATTAAAGCATCGGCTATTTGTCATGATGTTCTGGTCAAACCCAACCCACGGTAGAGACAAGCGACAGGGTGGCTTCGGAGAGAGGGGGTCCGCTGCGGAGATTGAGCAATGAAATCGGCTTGTGCGTCGCAAGTGCTCGGTGGTTTGTTGCAGTGTGGGACCGTGTGAGATGGTGAGGAATTGGCGTGGTGGTTCGGGGGGGGGTCGGAGGGCGCGCCTAATCCAGCAGCGGATTGATCACGGCTGATGATGATGATGAAGTCTCCTCTAACAGCAGAGCCTGCAAACGCTCTCAACTGTCTCCCTAATCCCCTCCACTCTGCCACCAGAGCCTTAGGGTGGAAGTGGGTCCTTAAGCTGCTCGGGGCTCCTTCCCTCCCTTCTCGCCCCCCGCCCATCCGCCTCCCAGCACATGCCCCTTGTTGGCGGTTGTTGCGGTGCTCGTGCTTGATAGGGGTTTTGTGGGTAATTATTGTGATTGTCACGAGAGTGGGCGCGTGCGGGCGGAGGGGGGGGGTGCCTTGGGCTGTTTGTATTTTTTGTGCTCTGGTGGAAAAGTGGTGGCTTGTCTCGTAGGCCTTGGGGAATGTGTGATGGTGGTGCTGGTGGAGTTGTGGTGCAGTGGTTAACGTGCTGATCCGAACCCGCGCTTCCCACCGTGGCGAACATCAGTGCCGGTGATGCCCTTATGATGATAATTACGACACTGATAATGACGTCCGTATATAGGTATTGATGGTCGTCGTAACAGTTGGGACGATAATGATAATAATCATAATGACAATTATAACGTCAATGATGACTATGCTCATGTGGATGATGGTGGTCACGAATGTAATGCCCGTGATAATGATGACAATTTTGATGATGCTGGTGCCGGTTGTGACGAGTGGAGGCTGCTATTGACATTTGACACCATGTCATTTTGTTCCCTGCCCCATCACCACCGCCGCTTCCACTACTACTCCTACTTCTGCTGCTTTTGCGCCTACTGCTGCTTTTCATGTTCCCGCTGCTGCTACTTAATTCACTGCACTTGTTGCTGTTGCTACTACTCCTGCTGCTTTTGCTACCTTTTGCTCCTCCTGGTTCACTTCCTGCTTCTGCTGTTATTACATCTGTTGCTGCTTCTGCTGTTGCTAATGTTGTTGCTGATGCTGCACCACTTGCTACTATTGTTGCTTTTGCTCTTTTGCCGCTTCGGCTACGGATGCTACTGCTTCTGCTGCACCCCCCAACCCCCGTTGCACCCCCTGCTGCACACGCTGATGCACGCGCCGCTGTAACCCCTGCTGCAACTCCCTGTTGCACTTCCTGCCGCTTCTTCTGTCCCCCTCTTGTACCTACTGCTGCACGCGCCGCCGCGGGCCGCGCAGGGGCGTTTGACGACGACGACATTGTGCACGTGGAGGGCTCGGTGGACCCCGTGCGTGACATCGAGATCATCCACGACGAGCTGCGGCTCAAGGACGAGGAGCTCATCGCGCCCATCCTCGACAAGCTGGAGAAGATGGCCGTGCGGGGCAACGACAAGAAGCTGAAGCCCGAATACGTGAGTCTCGCACCGCGGGGAGAGCGAGAGAGAGAAGAGCCTCTTTTGTTCAATCGAAAGTAAGCCACTGTTGAACTTTATTTTTATTTTACCAAGGCTAGGACGACCACTGAGCTATATAGGTCTTTTTCATAAGCGACCTGGCTTAAGATTATTAGCTCAACGAAGTGGCTTATCGCGTGAAGGTTTGTAGCAGCCAAATACGCTAAAACGCACATTGATTCTCAATGCGGAGGGAAAAACCGGAGGACCCGTTGTGGCCGAAACGTTGTGAGAATTATTTTATTATGTTTTATTTTTATTATTGTATTACTTCCCTTCTACGTGACTTTACCGAAAGAACCAAGAAGGCGAAATACATTGTTTTACTCTACTATGCTGCGACGTCCGTGCTGCCCCGCCTTCATCAATCCGCACGAACCAGCACGGTGAAATATGGTAAATGAACTTCCGTGACCGAGCATGGCATAGGGAGGGCTTCGTCCAGCGGTGAATGGACACAAGGGGGTGTTGCAGGTGGGTGTGGGGGGCGTGCGACGATGATCGTGGCGAATTGAGCGAAGCTGTTGGCTCTCCGCAAGATAAACCACGCACGTCCTAATCTAGTCTAAACTAATCTGCCGCTGTGTTTCCGAACGGCAACGGGGCTCGCATTCGTTTTGAGGTGACAGAAAAATAATGTTTACCAACATGTTGGGGGAAGGGGGGAGAGCGGCGAGGAGAATTTGCATTTAATGTTTACGCGTTTATGCCACTGCCGTTATGTGTGACAAATCCAAACACAATCAGCCCCGCACGGCAACAAAGGACGTTGATGGGTCTGCGTGCGGAAGCTACCTCGGCCACTCTTTATTTTTACGTTCATCATTTTTTTTCTTTCCTCCCCCCCCAGTCGCTTCGGCGTTGCTTTTAAATTGCCGTATATTTTGGTTTTAATTACGCTTTTGATTTGAGTGTAACCGCAAAATTGGCGGCGATCTGCACGCGCCGTCAATTTGTGTGCACGCGCGGCGGCGCGCCACGTAATTAGGGCCTTGCGGTCGTCCCGGCAGCTGCACCATTATTTACCCGGATCGGACGCCCCCCGTTGCACCTCCCCACCCCATCCCCCGCTCGCTCCACCAAAACACGGCAGTCTCAGCCGCCGTTGTCATCACCGCTGCCATCGCCGGTTTCGCCGCCGCCACCACCACCACCTCCACCACAAATCACTGCGGTCTCCGCCACCGCAACCATTGCCCCCACCACCGCACAGTAGAGAGAGTTTTGGCGAGCGCGCCTTCTCGTACGCTGGGCCCAAGGCTTGAAAAACTCACTTGCCAGAAAACTGCGTGCCGAGAAAAAAAATCTATTATCTTTAGGAAACTTTGGAAATCTTTTCGAACTAGCTTTTAATTATAAAAGCACAGAAATTAATTACGTGATGTACTTCTAGTCAATATTGTAAGCGGCTCAATATAAGTAACGTTTGTTTTTAGTATTTAACCCACCTGTCACTGCCAACATCACCTCTACCACCATCATCACCAACCACGGCCATCACCACCCCCCACCACGTCAAAATACTGCAGTCTCCACTGCCACCACCATCACTGGACCCACCACCACCACCATATCCCACGATGCCCCCCAATGCCTGGGCCGATCGTCCAATTCCAGAGAGCTTGGCTGAACTTTGAACCGATGTGAAATAACAGCAAGGAAATAGGAAGGCAGAGAAATCAAAAGTGCAGCGTATTTCGGGAGCATTCCCAGGGGCAGTGTGGCGGGCACTTACACGCGCTCGTGTTTACACGTTCTAGCAAATACTGGCTCACTCGGCCTAGGGGAGGCCCAGGACCAGTTCGGATATTAATTGCCGCTGAGAATTGAACTGAGGTTACACGGTTCGTAGTGCAGTAGACTTGCCAGTGCGTCACCGCTTCCCAACACTCACTGTGATCACCTGGTGTAGTACTTATTTTAGTTCGAGTCAACCTAGGGGATGCCCAGTTTAGAATACCCTTCCATTTGTTACTGGGGTGGGTTTTGCGTCTTGGCCGGCAAGTAACCTCGCGATTTTGTGGTCGTAGTGCAATGCGTGAACCATCACAACAACATACAAACCCACGGCGAAACTTAGTTTGGCTTGAAAAGCGAGCTAAAGAGACTAATTCCTAGCGCTCGCAAACCCTCCGAATAAACAACAATGAGCCAAGTCAGTCGCTCAAAGAACACCTCGAGGAAAAAGCCTTTGGAAGGTTTTCGCTTTTTGACGTAAATTCTGCAAAGAAAAGTGCAGCTGCGAATGGTGTGTGTGGCTGTCTTGAGGGCATGTGTGAGCTGGAAGGTTGTGTGTGTGTGTGCGCACTGGGGGGAGGGGGAGTGGATTTGTGTCCGGGTTGGCGCATTAGTACGCATCATTACCTCCTTTTCCACGGCAGGAGTTAGGGCAAGGGTTCCTAACTGCGCGTAAAGCATCGCACAAAGGGAATAGGTTATTTTTTTTCCACCACCGTTTTTTGTGTCTCTTTTTTTTTGTGTGTGTCATCTGTCCGAAAAGTGGCAGATCAGCCAAAAACACCAGCTGTTCGGTAAAGGGCGCAGAAAAAATAATTTGCATCATAATGAGCGATTCCCACCCTGCACGTTACATCGTTATGCGTTCTGCTAATTAATATAAATCGCGCAGTATCAAAGCGTGTGTCGGCCCTTATCAGAAGCTCGGGATAAACACAATTGTCCATGAGCAAGTCCGCATCGCCTACATGCCGTGCCGCATCAAAAGCACAACATCACACTGTTGTAAACACGTTTTTTTCTCCCTATACGTAAAAACGGAGTTACAGCTATTTAGAAAATGTTGACGGTCATACTCAAGCCACGGCGCTTTAATTATCGAGCCGTTTTTTACTTGCAGAAGTGAGACGGAAACGTGCCATGCATTGACGTTTATTTACGTCGCTTGTCTGGAAGAAAAGAAAGGGGTGTAAGAAAAAATTACTAAAAGTAATAATAGAAATAAAATAATAAATCACGACGTTTCAGAGGCAACACAAGTCTCCGTCATCAGGTGGGACCGTATCTTGGAATCTTTGCCTCACTTGATACAGCAAATCTAGCTGTGACGGTCCCACCTGATTACGGAGACTTGTGTTGCCTCCGAAACGTCGTGATTTATTATTTTATTTTATTTCTATTATACTTTTAGTAATTTTTTCTTTTCTTTTTTACCTACGTGACTTTACCGAAAAAACCTAAGAGTATGAATCCTTGCAGTCACGAAAGCTTCAAATCTAGAATTAAAGGGGTGTAAAACCGAGTGACGAGTCGCCGACTGATTTGCTTGGCGTTGCGTGTAGTGGTGGTGCTCACGGGAGCGCCACATCCTGGACGTGCCCCGAGCGGTGCTGGGACGCCACAGTCGTCATTCCAGTTATGAGAACCCCAAAAAAAACCTCGCCTAAGTATGTACGTATGTTGAACCTCTTTCACACCGTACGTCGCCAACCGTGGTCATCGGAGGTGCGGGGGAAAGACAAACCTCTCAACGAAGTCGCCTATGTGCTCATTCCGCTCGACATATTTGCATCGCTGTGCCTCTCCGCGGCACCGTCATGCTCTTGAAAAATAAAACAAACTTAATTTCACGCAATGAACACAAACCGGAGAGAGAGAGACTGTCGCATGTGACCTGAGGCAGTGAAGCCCCTCTGTTGAGTTGTAATTAGTGGCTGCCGCATGCAAGGGGAGTTGCGAGCAATTTTTTTTTATTCTTTGTTTAACCCCTTTCCGTTTTTTTGGCGTTGGCCTCGCGGTCCCTGCGGTGCCTTGTGCTGCCCGACAGAACTCCCTTCCCGGCGAGACATTAATTCAAAGGCAGAAGCGCCGTGCCGCGTTTGATTAAAATGTATTTTTTTCAGCGGGCATATTCCGAGCTGCGAGCGTGGATTACGCACTCTCCAGCTAATTAAAAACTTTCCAGGGACCTGTCTTGTCCGAGGCAGTCCCGTCTGCGTTAACCCGTGGCTGATAATCTGCGTGAAGTGTGCGCGTTTATATTTTCTGTTCATGTTGTTTAATTTCGAGCCCAAGTCTACTACTTGGCATGTCCAGCGCCAAGCGAACATGTGGTGGCGGACGGCAGCGTTTGTACGTTCTTGGAACAAAAGTCCCGGCGCCGGCCTTGTGAACGTTCGATAAATGTAACCCCATTAGCCGCACTTGGTTAATTCATGGCTGGATTATTCTCCGGGCAAGGATTGGAACGCCGTGTTGTCGACGGTTAGAATTCTCCGTGCGTCTGTCAGGGGCATGAAGATCACCCCTCCCCGGTGATTGGATTCAATTCATTAATCGATTAGTTATTTTTTGTGTCGAGGACTGTACTGTATGTTTTTACCATTTGCCGCATTCTCTCTCGCTTGCTTTGCTGTATTAGTTATGCGCTATTTGCTTTAGGTTACATTCCATAGTAACAAGAATAATAATTATATACGGCCCTTTGTCAAACTACTGCTGGGTGAAGGCCTCCCCACTCCGTGTTGTTTCATGACCACGCTGGTCGGTGTAGGTTGGTGATGGTGGGTGGGTGGGTAGGGATGTCCAAGACCGGTTCGTCTCTCCACTCATGTCACAGTAGCCGGGAATCAAACTCGGATCGCCGGGTTCATAGTAGGATACATGAATCACTGCTCCGCCGTTCTCCTTGGTACAGCGGTTGGCGGGCCACTCCAAGAACTTAGTTCAAATCCCGTCAAGTTTTAAGTAATTTCCTGCAGCAAAGATGGTAGACTTTGACAGGTTCTGGACCGTTAAGATAAATGTTCAGACCTGCGGTTACTTGCTCACGGCACCACTGCTGGCATCTTGACATGAGACTGCTCAGTGACACAACCCCCAACGGTCATTGCAAAGGGAAGTTTTCATTTAAATACAGAACCTGCAGATTTCACTCCTTCACGATGATGGTGAAACTTTCACAGAGCTGTACCTGAGAAGCGCAGGCTCTGGGCCTACGCCAGGCCAGAGGTCGCAAACGGGTTTTGATTCCTTACCCGTACCCGTACCCGGCCGCACCAGGGTCGCAAACGGCTACCCGTACCCGGCCGGGTACGGGTACCCGTTCCCTACTCGTACCCGTACCCTACCCGAAATGAGTGACAAACGGTTACTCACCAGTGACTCACGGCCTACCCGTACCCGGCCGCACCGGGTATCGGGTAGGGTACGGTTATCGGGTACCCAGTTACGACCTCTGCGCCAGGCTGATCACCGCTGGGGACGTTGCCCTCCCTTTGTCCACTCACACGAGTTTCCGCACCGATTCCGTGTGGCCGTCGCCAGTGAGGCTCGGTGTGCCGCCGTCAAACCCCTCCCCCGGACCCTCGCCGTAACCTCGGGGGCGCGGCGCATGTGAAGTGGGGTGGCTCGCCACGCCGGCGCTCCGACCACGCCTCCGCTTGTGCGCTATCGCAGTGCCCCTACTCACTGGATCGTGGCGCGCGGCGGATGCCGCTGCCGAGACGCCGCAGCAACCTCTTGCCCCTTGCTGTGCTGATTTACCCCCCCCCCAACAGCCGTCCCGCCCCAGTATCACAAATTAAAATTCGATTTGAGAATCGGCTTTATTTGTTATATCGTTGTAGATGTAGCCAGTAGGCATCACATACGCTAGTTGTACATAATGTATAAAAAAAACGTTGATTATGAATAATGTATAAATATAACATACGAGTTCACAGAGTCTGTCTTCGCCAGGCACAATGATTCAATAAATATAATTATTAACCTGATGTGAATTTTTTACAATTTTTATCTACGATCAGACACTAACAACTACTCCAAAAAAATGTATTTTTCCGACAAAAAACTCAGTTGGCAAGTTGATTCAACTTATATTTAAAGACATATCCATCGAAAACTGCTCAATTTGAAGATACCGTTCTTTTTTTTATTCGAAAGAACAAAAATGTATCAACTTAATACTCTCTGAGGGGAAGCTCTTATCTTTTACCGTTTTATAATTATTCAGATTGAACATCATAAAATGCATATTTTTTTCAATGCAAAACTGCTTGAATCTGAAATATCTGAGAAACAATAAAAGATAGAACAATGGTTCTCGCTTTAATTTTATTTCATGTTTAGAGCTCTCAATCTTATCATTTGAACAGTTTCTGAATGACACCACGCACACACGTATTCATGGGGCACTTAGAAGCGAACCATGTGCTGCCACCACTCCGCCCACGCGACATACGAATCAACAAATAACCGATTTCTCATTGGCCCTTTGACGCAGGGCGTGGTAAGCAAAATAATCCGTGTCCGTTAATATTTACTTATTCAGGAAAATCCACACTGAGTCGTAGAACTCCAGCGGTGAGTTTTTTTATTGAAAAAAAAATTCAGCCAATTAGTGACGCGTATAAGGTGCCAGCAACTCTCTCCCGTCCACACACATGGAAACAGGTGGAGATGAGTCCACTTGCTCTACTGCCTTCTGGCGAGCCGGAGTTATGGCACCTCGACGTCCCAAGGAAGGGAGGTTCACAACACGTGTATGTGTGATCATTGTTTTTTTACCCTTTTTTCTGGCAACAAAACTGACACCTTTTTTACAAGGAGTCATGTTTGCATAGACCACAATACCTGCAGTCGTAATGCAAACAAAAAACATAACTCTGATAATGTATGCACTGTCCTTGAAGTTGATTGGTCCACACCCGAGAGACAGCTTTCCTTAGAGCCTAGTCTCACATGGTGTTGGACCAGATGACGACCAGATGATGCCAAAAAGGTGTGTATGTGTGTGATCAGCAAATCCTTGCCTCCACAGTGCTGGATCGCAGACAACCACGTGCGTGGCCCCTGCAGCTCGCTTATTTAAATGCCTTTCAAGGCGGTGGTAGCGAATGTGGCCGCGTAGCTGTGTTGGGGAGACGGAGCGCGTGGATGTGTAGGGATGTGCTCTCGCGTGCGGCAAACTCCCCCGATTTTTGGCAGGAGCTCATCTTACAAACTTTTTTTGTCATGAACTAAAATCCTTCTGTGTTCGCTGTGAGGGCCGCGCTGCCGAGAGTGATGGGGGAAGCGATCATTTTACCCTTCTTCTTTAGCAATATAGGAGAACAACTCTCAAGTGGTTTCTGTCTTTCTGCTCGATCACAATTGTCTCTTCTTTTGGATTTCTGAGTGTTAAGGTCCGTTCCTAAATGAAGTACATTTCTTCAGGTATTTTGACGTGGGCCTGGCTGCAGTGTCATGTTTCAAACATTTTTAGTTTTTCCTTTTTGTTCTTTTTATCTGCGAAGCCTCCCTTGCGTCTCAAGACTCGTGTTCACGAATGTTTAACACGGAGGCTTTCGCAACCAATATTAACCCTAATAGAGGTTATTGGGTTTAGATCGCGGAAATATAAATGTGTCGTTAAACCCGCCACCACCTAGTAACGAATTAAACTAGTAACGAATTGGCACGTTTTGTTTACGTGGAAAACCTTACTAATTGGCTGTTGTGGGGTGGTGACGGATTTAACGACACACGTCTATAATTACGCGATCTAACCCAAAAACCTCGACTATACGTGTTCAGGAATGTTTTGCGGAGTGTTTGCCAAAATTCCGTCTGTGCGTATGCCTCCGCGTGGGAGGACACCAGATTGCCCGGAGAACAGCCCACGCGCATTTGTTGAGCCAGGTTCAACAACTGTTTAGCTTCAGAGATCTCGACGAGATCGGGCATGTTTAGGTTGCTTTTATCTTTGCGCGAATAGAAACCAAAGTGGCGAGAGAAAACCCACGCTTATCTGGGGATAACGTTTCAAAAATCCGTACAGATGGGTCCGCAACCGACTCCGCTGTACTGCCATCTGCCGTCCACCTGCGATTTGTGAGTTTCACACGTGCGATGCACCTTCCATCTGCTGGCATAAAGGCGCATGCCCATCACACGGACGACAATGACTGTGACAATAATGGTGATGAATACGAGGATAATGATGACGGTGGTGGTGGTAGTGATTATGATGATGACAACGATGATGATGATAACGGTAATGTACCACAGCCTTGGTCTAGAGCAGCGATGATGACAGACGTGCACCGCTTCGAGGTGACAGGCAGCTGGTGTCGGAAGCCGCCACAGTGCCGTGAGTGCGGCGCGCGGCGCAGAGTTAAAAGTGACACGGCAGACGGGAGTTTCTCCAAGCAAGTAACGCGCAGAATTACTGTGTCGCTCGCATGCCTTGTTAGACGTGTGTGTGCGTGTGCCTGCGTTTGTGTGGGGAGCGGTGGTGCACTGGTTATTGTGTTGCGCTACGAACCCGGCGACTCGAGTTCAATTCCCGCTCATGGCCAACACCAGTGACGATTGTCTGAACCGGTCCTGGGCCTACCCTAGATCGACTCGGCCTCAAATGAGTACCTGGTGCCATGAGTAAACATCGCCACTGGGAGTCAAAGGTGGCCGGGCGTGGTGTTGCCGCCACCCACAACACCTCATCGTGCGCCGTGTCGGCTTTCGTCGGTCCTCGTAAACGGCACTTGCCCCAGCAGCGCGTGTCGACTGCTCAGGGGATTGTTGGCTGTCTGTCAGGGGGGCGGTTTGGTTTGGATCTGCGGTCCCCACGTTTATTTTCCTGCTCGTGCCGCCCTTTTTTCGGGGTGAGGGGGAACGGAAGGGGGAAACCAGCAGCCTGCCAGGAGGACTCGGACTCGCTTGCCCTCGTTATACCGTTTCATCTACATTTATTTATTTACTTTACCCCCTGCTCTACTCATCCCCCCCTCCCCAACACAGCCAACTAGAATCCCCCCCCCCCCCTCTTATTTTGTCGCCGAGCGCACTGCGCTTTTGAAAGGACTCTGCGGTGAAGCCCTAACGCCTTATCTCTGCCCACAGGACATCATGTGCAAGATAAAGAGCTGGGTGGTGGATGAAAAGAAGCACATCCGATTCCACCCCGATTGGAATGATAAGGAGGTGAGACCGCTCTGATATCCCCCCGGTTTTTCTCATTAGCGGCCGACACCGCTGCTACTCGCCGACCTCCCCCTCGGCCCCTGCCGCGCCACAACCACCGTGGCCCCCACCACTCCGCACCCCCCCCTCCCCCCTGCTGCTGCTGATGGTGGGAGGGCAGCAGGCAGCGTTCGAGGAGGAAAACCAGCAGGCGCTTGTGGTTGTGGTGGTTGTGACTGCGGTTCTGGCAGCAGCGTCGGTGATCGTAACCGCAGTGGTGGTAATGACGGTGTGGTGGCGGTTAATGGTGGTGGAGGCGGAGGTGGTGGTGGTGGAAGTGGTATTAATGACGGTGTTTGGTGGAGTGGTGTTAATGAACGGTGGTGATAGTGAGAATGATGGCGTTTGTGGTTGATGGTGGCATTCGTGGTAATGACCAGTGGTGGTGGTGATGGTGGTAATCATGTTGGTGGTGGTGGCTGTGGTGGCGGTGGTGCTGGAAGAGGGAGCGAGAGAGAGAGCGGTGCGCACGGTTGTTTAATCTTCTTCCACATCCACCGCCTTGATACGCAGCCTGTAATGCAAATGAGGACAACAGTGGGATGCGTTTGATACGCGCGTGGGAGTTCATGAGAGTGCGCGTATGTTTGAGCGAGCGTGCGTGCGTGCGTGCGTGCGACATGCACACACGGACTTTAATCCGCCTTTAAACTGTCGCTGCACTCGTGTTCCAATCAGTCCGGATCTTATTTTTATCCGTTTTCTCCTCCCGATATTTTTTCACACGTGTTACACTGTACATACAGTATATGAGCGTGTGCGCGTAGCTGCAGCGTAAAGCGGTTGGAGCACCGCGCTACGAACTTGACTACCCAAGTTTGATTCCCGCTCACGGCCCACTTCAGGAACGATCCCTCGGCCTCCTCTGGCTCAACCCGACCTTAAATGAGTACCTGGCGCCATGTGTGTATACATCAGTACGGGGGGAGACAAAGGCGGCCCTACCTCCTACTTGTGCACCGTGCTGGCCTTAATAGGTGCTCGCTAATCAACACTTGCCCCAACAGCCTGTGTAGGCTACAAGGGAAGACGGTGGGGGGGAGATATCTTCCATCTACTTATTTGATTCTAGATGTACAACGCTCTGCAAGACATGGCGCCTCCAGCCGAGCGCGAGCGAGTCAGTCTCCAGCGTGTTCCTCGAGTGACAGTGCCGGCTCGGGAGCTGAACACCGATGTGAGCGGTCCAAGGCCCAGGCACGAAGCGCAACCCGTCCGCTTGGGCGCGACCACGCTAGGCCGGCGCCGAGCCTTCGGGAACATCCGAATAAAACGCCGGCAAAGGTCAAGACACGCAGCGACGCCCTTCACAAGGTGGCTGCTTCGCCACGGACGGTGCAGGTGACACAGCTGGTAGGACGTCGGCTCCCGCTATCTCCTACTCGGCGGCAGAGGTACTGCGCGCCAGGCTGGAGTCGGCTCTTCACACGCCGAGTTCGACGATGCGCACCATCGTCGCGGGAACTCTTCGACCGGCCTCTCTAGCGGCCGTCCTGAGCAAACATTGCTCCCCCTTCACATCCGACGGAAAGTTGCAAGAGCTAACAAGCGACTGGGGAAGATCGACGCCGGGCCGGGCTAACCCTGCCGCTGCACAGAAGATATCCGGCGTCCACCTGCGCCGCACGTCTTCCGTCACCACGACGCGCGCCTCGGTCCAAACGCAGCTGGCGGGAGGGATGGAGGTCAACATCGCCACCAAACCGGTTCGTTACCGCGGATCCTGCAGTCTGTCCACCTGGCTCCAACCTACCCACGCATCAATGTTCCGGACAGGGCAAGGTCTCTGTGCAGCCAACCTCCACCGCTGGGGTCTCCGTGACAACGAGGACTACACGTGGCCACCGAGGACGCTGTCGCATGGCTCGGCGATTGTGCACACACCGAATGAACGAATGCACACACTGTAAAGTTTACATCGAGGTATTGGTACCGATTGGTTCACTTTTCCCCACGAGTAGCACGTTTGGCCTGCCGGACAAACGAGGTTGACGGTGCTCGACTAGAATTCGGTCCAATATTAATAACAACAATGACAAATCCCTACGATTTATTGTTTTTTGGGTTAGACCGTGAAGGTATATAATGCCATTGTCTATTACCCGCCACCACCCCACAGAGCTGATCAAACCACGTTGCCACGTGGTCAAATGTGCCCAACTGATTTGGTTTTTCAGCGAAGCGGAATTTTAAGGCAAGCGAAATGTTGACAGTTTCGCGCGGCGTTTTGCCGGAGGAGATTATTGCGGCGTGTCACGGCGGAGCCATTACACGGGCGCTGACGTCCGACCCCAGCGTCCGCCCCCAAGGCGTTAAGAGGCGAACGAATTCCTGTGAAATAAAACAACCGCGTGATTGTTCCAGCGGGAGCGTGCGTGCGTGCGTCTCATCCCACTCACTGTTAATGCTCATAACATTTTTATCCTCTGACGGTCGGCGCTCTCAATTATCCGGGGGTAACGGGATCGGGGAGGGTGGGGGGATGGTGGCTCGGATAAAACAAACATGGAGTACTTGATGAATAGTGTATATATTATAACGAGCACAAATCCACATTTTTCCTTTTAATCCTGAAGAGAATTCGACATCTCGCACGCTGCGCTTGTATTTTCACGCGCTCGCCGATTTTGCGAACGTTCCACGGACTTTTGGGAACCCTTGCCACCTACGTTGACGCATCGCAGTGGGGTCAGTCTTCCTCGTGTAATAAAGAACGTACACCCCTCTCGCACACTTTGCGTGCAACTTGTCGTCGTTGTCGACGTGAATGTGCCTGTTGGCATTGTGTTTCTGTTGTTGTGATTGCCGTTGCAGAGTATTTGGCTACTGTCGTAAAATCTTAACGCAACAAGCCACTTGGTCGAGCGATCAATTGTAATAGCCGGGTCGCTGTATGGCCCAGTGGGCCTTACCTGGTAAAATAGTCATAGTGAAATTTTATTTGAAAAATAAAATGAAAATTGTTAGAATAGAATTCGTCCTTCAAATTGACTTGGATGAAGCCACAGCGGCAGGCCTGGGTCACTCGTAGAGGCGTGACGGCACGCGGAGTTGTCGGGATGAGGGCTCGCGCTCCAACTGGAACGCCGACGACTCTCCGCCTCTCGTGTTTGACGTCCCGGTTGTATCGCTCATCCTTTGTTCCGTCTCCCTTGTGGAGTTTTGTTCGCTCCATTAGCCCACGTGTAACCTACCGTGTGATTTATTGTGCATGTAATAAGCATGCATTTGTGTTAATGCATTGCATTGCTGAAGCAGTAATTCTGCTCCAGCAGAATTACTGCTTCAGCAAAATTAACTGCTTCAGCAATGTTGCTGGAGCAGTCAACGCCTGATGACGGTTGCTTGTGTGGCTTCCGAAACGTCGTGATTTAATTTATTTGTTTTCTTTTTTACCTACGTGACTTTACCGAAAAAACCAAAGAGTATGGATCATTGCAGTCACGATAACTTCAAATCTAGGATTCCTGACTTACCAAAGCGGTTATCGGTTTCGGAGAAAGATTACCGATTTACCCATCATCTTTTAGCAAGCCCATGAGAGTGCTGGCCCCGAGGGTTGCGACGTTGTCAGGGCGGAGGAGGCTTCACCGTGGCCGCCGTCTCGCCCGTGTGCCCGCAGATCGAGGTTCTGAACAAACACCTGCTCCTCACCTCCAAGCCCATGGTCTACCTGGTGAACCTGTCCGAGAAAGACTACATCCGCAAGAAGAACAAGTGGTGAGCCTCGGCGGAGACATCGGCTTGAAATTCAGTGTTAATTACAATTAAAGTAATTATCGTGCTCGGGCCCACGTGTGAGAGAGAGGGAGAAGGGCCATTGCCTATGGCCACTTGGCAACCGGTGCCGAGTATGCCCGTGTCGAAACAATGTTGCTGAATTTAGCCTCTCCCGGAAGGCCGTGTTGCTGATGAGGTGTGCATGATTTTATTTTACTTTTGATGTGGAGGTGACAGATGTGGGAAGTGGGGAGGGGGGGCGACGTAATGTCTGCTTCTTTGTTTTGTTACGCTCAAGTTGAAATCGGTGCTGTCCCGCTTACGTGAACGCAGGGCGGCGAACCCCTCTTGTGTTTGCAGCTACGAGCCATTGGTGGGAATGCCACATTCCGATGGCAGGCGGCGAGTCTATCCGTAGGACAACCACTGCCGACTGCCCTCAAATTGGTACTCATTTTGTCGATGCTTGAACTGTGAAGGGCCGAGCCAATCCCTGACCGGGGTGCGAACCCGCGGCCCCACGGTTTTGAAGGGGAGCATTCTCCAACTCGGCAGAAAAGCCGCCTCTTGAGTCTCAGGGCTCCTTGGCAGGAGGGGTCCTCCTGCCTGGGAGTCATCAATGAGTGTTGTTGACTTGTGAGGTTTCTCCGGGATCCTTTGGTTTTCTGCTAGCACCTGTCAAATATCACGTTACACGCTCTCACGAAATTCAGACTCACCGAAGCTTTCATGGATAATGTATTATGAATTTGAATGAAGTGTAAACGTGTCCTCTTTGGCCTTATGGACTCCGGGGGCCGCAAGTGCCTCTCGCGAATGTCTATTCAGGCGAACAGCGCACGGAGGGATGGCGTGGCTGGTATACACTCACGAGTCATGAGTACACACCCATGCGTGGAAGACCTTGATTTGATTGAACACGGCACTTGGACTGTCACATGTCGAGCAATTAGAATAACGATGTGACTTTACCACATACGGTGTTAGCCTACTTCTGTAAGCCATGCTTTGTATCCTTAGTGCTGATGTTTGCACACCACACGGCCTGCTGCACCTGCCATGCACACACTACCGCATGCACCCTGACACAAAAAAGACAAAGATCCCCCTTATAGCTTTAACAGACTGTAGGGGCAAGTACTGTTAGCGAGCACCTATGAAGGTTGGAAAGGTACACGAGGGGGTGGGTGGCCAGAACCACGCCCGGCCGCCTTTGTCTCCCCATTGGCGATGCTAACACATCGCACCAGTTACTCATTTGAGGCTGAGTCGACCTAGGGGAGGCCCAGGACCGGTTCATATAATCGTCACTGGTGTTGGCCGTGAGCGGGAATCGAACCCGGGTCGTTGGGTTAAATGCGCAGCGCGCTAACCGCTCCCCTACCGCTCCCCACCCTGACACACGCACACTACCACACGCACCCTGCCACAGGCACTCTGCCACCACACTCCACCCTGTGATAGGCACGGCGAGACCGCGTCGGCGCCTCTGTCCCCTGTGGCGTTGTCTCGCCGCCGCCGCCGCCACACTCCTCGCCCCGTCGTGAGTCCCCTCTCAGTGCCCAGGCGGCGAAGGGGGTGCGTGGAGGTGGGGGGGGGCGACGACGGGGGGGGGGTGATGAGAGTGGGGGGTGAAGTTGGGGCGGAGGGGCGGGCAGTGGCAGACAAAATTACATCTGTGCTCTCCCCCTCCTGCCGTCACTCTCACCTTTCTCATTTCTCCCCCTACACTCAGCAATTACCTGGGCGATTCACACTCTTTGTTTGTGGGGCCACACCACCCCTCGTGCGCCGTGCTCGCCTTAACAGGTCCTTGCTAACAGCACTTGGCCCAACAATTTCTTCAAGGCCACACTGCCTTTGTGTTTAGTTCGTTGTCCTTCCCCCGAACCTCCGATTAGCACGGTTGGCTCAGTACGGTGCGAAAGAAGTTGAACGTACGTACGCACGTACATTGCGTTATGTTACAGTGCACGAGTGCACAAAAAACACTCTGTCGTAATTCTAACGATGATCGTCATCGTCGTCTTAATCGTCAGCGTCGGTGAAGTTCATACCACGTGTGTGACGGCTGCACGACTTTGCGAACGGAAGCCGAACGCAGTGGCCCCTTGTGTGTTGGGCCCCCGGGGCAGCTTGACCTTAAGCACCGTCTGGCGTGGGGAGGCGGGCATGGAGCGATGCGGCCGCCCTTTGGCGCTCGCCGCCCCGTGATTGTAGTCGTGGAGGCGCTTCCGAGACCAGAATTCATCATTGTTCCCGCTACGAGTGCGGTCGGAGTAGCCGCAGTTGTGCTTCCTGCCTTTAATCAGATGAGTGTGTCCCCCCCCCCTCCTTCGATTTGCCGACATGGCGAGCTGACATTTTGATGATGAGCCGAGGAAAGGCCCATGTAGTGTACTCCGCAACCACTACCACTCGTGCCCTGCCACGCACACACTGCCACACGCGCCCTGCCACAACAACAACAACCGCCATATGCCACGAAGTGGCGGTGACATAACCACGATGCTTGTGCCCGGCAATGTGCACCTTGAGGCCACGTGAAGTGTCGAACGCCCGCTGGCAGAAGGTCACGGGGCAGACCCAGATGCTACAGGTCGACTGACTGAGACGACTGGCTGATGCACCACCTGTGCCCCCTACTGTGCCAACTTTTGCTGTGCTTTAGCCACCCGTCGCTCCGCTCGTTGTTGTGAGCGTCGCTCCTCCGTTGTTGTTGGAGGGCGACTGCCTCCAACTGCCCAGTAGCGTCCTTCACGAGCCTCCTCCACTGAGGCCGATCTTGACACCGCTGGTACCAGTCATCGGCAAGTCCACTCAGCTCCACGTCCTCCTGTACCACATCACTCCATCTCTTCTCTAGCCCGTACCACACCCGTCTAGCCCCCTCGATCCGGCTGAACTGTTTAGGCATGCGGTGGCTGGGGATGCGGGCTACATGGCCCAGCCGACCCATCCTTGCCTGCTAGAGGAGCTTACCGATGGGACTTTGTTCAGATTTTTCAAGGATTTGTGAGCTCCTCACACAATCCAGCCTGGTTAAACCCAGGACTGATCGTAGGCAGGACAGCCTAAATGTTTCTAACTGGCGAAGATGTTCCATTAGGGGGGGTCCACGTTTCGCAAGCGTAGAGAAGGGAGGGAATGACTGGCCGAGAAAACCTGAAGCTTCATGCCGAGTGACAGACCACACAGCGTTACGCAACAAGAATGTTTTTGGCGCCTTCGTGGATTCCTCCGACAATATAATGGCAGGTCATCTCATGCCCCAAGAACGGCGTTGCCGATGTAAGCGAGATTTCCGCGTCTTGGCTGCGTGTGTCGAGGGAGCGCTCGGGAATAAATCCGAGAACCGACGGGGCCAGTCGACAGGCAGGCGTGCCGCCACGAGGCGGACACGTTTGCCCTCTTGGCCGCGTTTCACCGCAAACAGTCACCACCAAATCATCGCCTTCCATTGCCGCCGCTTCCTCGTAAACGTTTTTGCTCGCGCGCGTGCCCTGGGTCCCGGGTCCTGGCTGCTTTGCGTTGGAGCCATGTCTGTCGCAGGAACGGCCCTTTATGAGCGCTTGTCAAAAAAAAAACATTTCGAATTCCACTGCAAGATTATGATGTTTTTAATCTGTATCCGGGCATAATGGCCACGGTCTCAACACACCCCACGTTTCAGCTGTACATAAAAAAAATAACAAAACAAAAACAAACTTGTTGATTTGACAAGTTGTCCTTTTCCGTGTTAGCTTTCATACGATTGGATGTTTGAAAATCCACATTGTCAAATATTGAGGTTGCCACCACCATCATGATTTGCCCGGATCAATCGATCCACTGCTGGATGAAGTCCTTCCCAAACCGCGACCATCCCTCACGGTCTCGCTATGTGAAATACACCGATTGCCTTGGCACGAGCGGATTTTAATCGCTCCATCGCTTGCGCGGTGGACGTCCCCTCGGGCGTGTCCCCCTCCTGGCCGTCACTGCGTCGTCGTGTCGGACCCACGAGCTGCTCGTCCTGCCCGAGCGCGGCCGACGCCACTCTCGTGTAAACGACCTGCGCGCTACAAGGTGGACACTTTTCGTGTTCGTGTCAATCCGGTTGCGTGTTTTAAACATCACAAGTGTCAAGAAGTAAGGCCCGCCACCCCCCACCCCCCGCGCCTCTCCCCCATTTAACAAAAGAACAGGATGAACATTGGGAAATTTAAAAAGTAAGGTTTTATTTTAATCAGCTTTTGTTCGTTGACGTTCAAGCGCTCACTCTGAAGAGCACGCTGCTGCCCCCCATCCTCCCCCTCCTGGCACTCGCAATTAGTTTGCCGTTGTTGACGACAAAAGACGCGCGTTTGGTCCCCGTCATTCAGACGGCCAAATTGCTGCCAATAATCGTCGTTAATTCCATTGCCCCTCGGGCAGAGCCCACGGTTCGGCCAAGTTGCACAATCTCCACAAAGAGCAGCCCTCGCCGCTATACCCCGCTCCTCCCCGCTCCACCCCACTTTACCCCATTCCACCCCGCTCCACCCCGCTCCACCCCGCTCTACTCCGCTCCACTCCGCTCCACCCCGCTCCACCCTACTCCTCCCTACTCCACCCCGCTCCACCTTAGCTCACTCCTCCTCCCCCCCCCTTCCATCACGGCAGCTTACGGGCGTTATGAGTGCCCCGCATGATTACTGTTTTCGCCCGGGCGGCGACAGGATTTGGCGCCGTACGCAGTGAGGGGGCGGAGGGGAGGATAGCGAGTGGAGGAAGAGGGGGGGTCTGGAGGAATGTTGCTGTGGCGAGGCGGCTCGCTGGACGCATAGCTGCGTGTCTGCGCGGCGGCGGCGGTGGCTGTGGCGCCACCGTAAAGTCGCGGTCGGCACTCCTCACGTAAATTACGCGCCGGGCTGCGGTTTCTAGAGGCCTCTGTTGCGAGCGACCGAGCTTGGCGCTTTGACGTTGACAAATCAATTGCGCCGAGTTTGTGTGAGCCGAGGTTGCGAGTGCGTGCGTGCATGC